CCCCACCCCCTACCCAAGCCCTTGTGAAGAAGATTCCATCAGACAGGATGATGGGAAATGTCATCAGGGGCCTGTCCTTTCCTCCAGGCTGATTGCATCTGCAGTCTGTCCAATGGGATAAAGGAAGGGAAACACCCTACAGGATTATAAGGCTGAAAGGAGCCAGATTCAGAACTCAGTGCTAAATGGAGAGGTTGTGCTGTGTTGCGTGTTCTGATGCAGATCAAGGAGGATTCCACTGATTCACCAGGAGAGAAGTTGGCCGTGTGAGTTGGTCCTGAGGGAAGCACCATCCCTGCCTTGGGGATATAAGAGAAGCTCCCCACTGTGGGTAGACTCAGGAACCACATAGAGTGGGCATCGTTGTGTGCAGCTGGGACCACAGGTGCAGGTAAGCCTAGACTCTGGGAAGGGATAGCAGCCTTGGGCGGGGCAGGGAGGTGGGAGAGTCACCGACCACAAGGGCAGAAACTAGTAGTGGGGTGACGCTGTCAGGGCACCTCACCCCTGGTCCAGGAGGGTGGAAAATGGGAAACAGACCTAACCAGGGTGGCCTGGGAGGATGCTCTGAGAAAGTGTTGACTACATTCATTTTGAAGACACATTCTGGCCAGGAGAGTGGTTAATGTAGGTGGGTTCAGAGGAAGATGGGGTGCTTGAGGGGCAAGAGGGGCGAGTTCCAGCTGTGGTTGTAGACAGTGACTCCATGATATTAGCTGATAGAATCCTTATGCCTGGCCTCACTCTTGCCACAAACTGAATTCATCTTGATTTGGGAGATTTATGTGGGGTTGGAAGAGTGGAAGTTGGAGTGGAGAAGGAGTTGGAGTGGAAGGAGCATGAGGGCAGTTTTATGTCAACTGTAAGACAAAGAGGGGAGAATCAAGGATCTCAGAGCTTTGAAATGAAGGGAAAGTGAAAGATGAGCCTCAAAGAAAAAAGAGAGAACTCATACAACTCAACAACAAAAAAACAAACAACCCGATCAAAAATGGGTAGAGCATATGAACAGACATTTTTCCAAAGACAATATATAGATGGCCAACAGGCACATGAATATTCCAGCTTGGCTGGAATGGGGGCAGCAATAAGATTGACAAAAATGGTTAGCCTTTTAAAGAATGTTTTTTATTAGACAACATCTTAGCACATAAAATAGTAGAGAAAATAGTACAATCAACCTTATGTAGCCATCTATAAAATTATGTCCCAATTCATCTGCCCATCAATATTATGAAGCAAACCCCAGACACATGTTTGTTTATGTGTAAATACCGCACTATGATGTCTAATGGAGAGGGCTTTTTTTTTTTGAGGTCGTAATAGTTATAACATTGTGAAATTTCAGTTGTATATTCTTATTTGTCAGTCACCATATATATGTGCCCATTTACGCCCCTCTTTTTTTGTGTGAGGGAGATCAGCCCTGAGCTAACATACGATGCCAATCCTCCATTTTTTTTAATTTTTTTTTTTTTTTTTGCTGAGGAAGATTGGCCCTGAGCTGACATCCGTGCCCATCCTCCTCTACTTTACATGGGACACTGCCACAGCATGGCTTGACAAGTGGTGAGTCGGTGCGCGCCTGGAATCCGAAACCTCAAACCCCAGGCCCACCGAAGCGGAGCATGCACACTTAACCACTTTCACCACCAGGCCGGCCCAACCCCTTTACCCCTTATGCCCACCCCTTAACCCCATTCCCCTCTGGTAACCACTAATATGGTCTCTTTGTCCATGTGTTTGTTTATCTTCCACACATGAGTGAAATCATACAGTGTTTGTCTTTCTCTGTCTGGCTTATTTCACTTAACATAATACCCACAAGCTTCAACCATGTTGTTGCAAATTGGATGGTTTTGTCCTTTTTTGTGGCTGTGCAGTATTCCATTGTATAAATATACAACATCTTTATCCGTTCATCAGTTGTTGGGCACTGGGTTGCTTCCACATCTTGGCTATAGCGAATAATGTTGCAATGAACATGGGGTGCATAAGTCTCTTTGAATTGTTGATTTCAAGTTCTTTGGATAAATACACAGTAGTGGGATCGCTGGGTCGTATGGTATTTCAATTTTTAATTTTTTGAGGAATCTCCATGCTGTTTTCCATAGTGGCTGTGCCAGTTTGCATTCAGTATGCAGTTGCCAGCAGTATATGAGCGTTCCCTTTTCTCCACATCCTCTCCAACATTCGTTGTTTTTTGTCTTGGTAATTACAGCCATTCTAACAGGTGTAAGGTGATGTCTCATTGTAGTTTTGATTTGCATTTCTCTAATAATTAGTGATGTTGAACATCTTTTCATGTGCCTGTTGGCCATCTATATCTTCTTTGGAAAAATATCTGTTCACATCCTCTGTCCGGTTTTGATCGGGTTTTTTGTTTTTTTGTTGTTGAGTTGTATGAATTCTATATATATTTTGGAAATTAACCCTTTGTCAGATATATGATTTGCAAATATTTTCTCCCAGTTGGTGAGTTGTCTTTTCATTTTGTTCCTGGTTTCCTTTGCCTTGCAGAAGCTCTGTAGTCTGAGGTAGTCCCATTTGCTTATTTTGTCTTTTCTTCCCCATGCCTGAGTGCACTTGGTATTTGAAAAGATCCTCTAAGACTGATGTCAAAGATTGTACTGCATATGTTTTCTTCTAGGAGTTTTATGGTTTCTGGTCTTACATTTAAGTTATTAATCCATTTTGAGTTAATTTTGGTGTACAGAGAAAGATAATGGTCTACTTCCATTCTTTTGCATAAAGAACAATTTTCCCAGCACCATTTATTGAAGAGACTTTCCTTTCTCCATTGTATATTCTTGGCTCCTTTGTCAAAGATTAGCAGTCTGGAGATGTGTGGTTTTATTTCTAGGCTTTCAACATTGAGAATTTTTATCATAAACGGAAGTTGGATCTTGTCAGGTGCTTTCTCTGCATCTATTGAGATGATCATGTGGTTTTTATTCCTCATTTTGTTAATGTGGTGTATCACACTGATTGATTTGCAGATGTTGAACGATCCCTGCGTCCCTGGTATAAATCCCACTTGATCATGGTGTATGATCTTTTTAATGTATTGCTGTATTCTATTTGCCAACTTTTCTTGAGGATTTTTGCATCTATGTTCATCAGCAATATCGGCCTGTAATTTTCCTTCTTCGTGTTGTCTTTGTCTGGCTTTGGGATTAAAGTGATGTTGGCCTCGTAGAATATGTTAAGAAGTGTTCTGTCTTCTTCAATTTTTTGGAATAGTTTGAGAAGGTAGGTATTAAACCATCTTTGAATGTTTGATAGAATTCTCCAGAGAAGCTATCTGGCCCTGGACTTTTATTTTTGGGGAGGGTTTTGATTACTGTTTCAATCTCTTTACTTCTGATTGATCTATTCAGATTCTCTATTTCTTCTTGTTTCAGTTTTGGGAGGTTGTATGAGTCTAAGAATTATCCATTTCTAGATTGTCCCATTTGTTGGCATATAGTTTTTCAAAGTATTCTCTTATAATTCTTTGTATTTCTGTGGTATCCGTTGTAATACCTCCTCTTTCATTTCTAATTTTATTTATTTGAGCCTTCTCTCTTTTTTTCTTAGTGAGTCTGGCCAAGGGTTTGTCAATTTTGTTTATCTTCTCAAAGAACAAGCTCTCAGTTTCATTGATCCTTTCTACCATTTTTTTGGTTTCCATTTCACTTATTTCTGCTCTAACTTTTATTATTTCCCTCCTTTTGCTGACTTTGGGCTTTGTTTATTCTTTTTCTAATTCTATTAGGTGTAGTTTAAAATTGCTTATTTGGGATTTTTCTTGTTTGTTAAGGTGGGCCTCTATTGCTATGAATTTCCCTCCTAGGACCACTTTTTCTGCATCCCATATGAATTGGCATGGTGGTTTTTCATTTTCATTTGTCTCCAGATAGTCTTTGATTTCCTCTTTAATTTCTTCACTGATCCATTTGTTGTTCAGTAGCATGTTGTTTAGTCTCCACTTATTTGTCACTTTCCCAGCTTTTTTCTTCTGGTTGATTTCTAGTTTCATAGCATTATGGTCAGAAAAGATGCTTAGTATGATTTCAATCTTAAATTTGTTGAGGCTTGCCTTATTTCCCAACATATGGTCTATCTTTGAGAATGTTCCCTGTGCACTTGAGAAGAATGTGTATTCTGCTGTTTTTGGAAGGTGTTCTCTATATATTTATTAAGTCCATCTGATGTAGTTTTTCAGTTAATTCCACTATTTCCTTGTTGACTTTCTGTTTGGATAATTTATCCATTGATGTCAGTGGGGCATTGAGGTCCCCTACTATTATTGTGTTGCTGTTAATTTCTCCTTTTACGTCTGTTAATAGTTGCTTTATGCACTTCGGTACTCCTGTGTTGGTGCATATGTATTTATAAGTTGTATGTCCTGAGAGAGCCTCTTTTTAATAAAAAGGTCATAAAATCGTTAATAATCAAGAATTTTTAAAAATAATGTGAGTTCCACTATTCCAATTGACTTATTCGTATTTTTATGCCTTAGAAATATATGTATTTGGATCAGAAAAATAACTTACGTAAATCTTTGTCACTGATATACATGTCCTTCATTACGTTAATATATATTTTACTGCTTTTTCTTTGCTGTTTTATGTTGAAGAAATCCGGTCAATTGTCTTGTTGAGTGTCAACATCTGGAATTCCCTACATGGTCATTAATTTCCATCACTTCTTGAAGTTGCAGCTCTTTGCTGACAAAGAGGACTAACAAGCCAAGATGAATTGGAATAAAGGTGATCCAGAGCCAGGGGATGAGTGACTGCCTGGGCCATATCTCCTCCTGGCAGCTGCTTCTAGAGCTGAAGGGAAGGAAGCAGAAACAGGCTTGTGGGGTTATAGCTGCCTGGGATCCTGGGAAGACTTCAGGCTGTCTTCAGGAGGGTGACTGCTGACGACACGTCGGCTTCTCACTTTTCCTAGTTCCTTGAGAATCATATTTACTGAAGAGAATCTCCTCAGACAGACACCCTCCCTGCACAATGGCCTTTGCAGCCTCCCTGGCTGACCTCCAAGCAGAGGCCAGTTGCCCCATCTGCCTGGATTACCTGAGAGATCCAGTGACCATTCACTGTGGGCACAACTTCTGTCTCTTATGCATCCACCAGTGCTGGGAAGACCTACAGGACATCTTCCCCTGTCCCATCTGCCTCCACCACTGCCCTGACAGGAGCTTCAAGAAGAACCCCCAGTTAGGTCACCTGACTGAAATTGTTAAGCAGCTTCCCACCACGAGCAGCAAGAGGAAAGGGCAGGAAGAGAAGCCCCTGTGTGAGAAGCACAATCAGGTTCTGGCCCTGTTCTGTGAGGAGGACCTGGAGCTGTTGTGTCCCCAGTGCAGGGTCTCCTCTGACCACCGGGATCACCCCCTGACGCCCACTGAACAAGCTGCAGCTAGTCACAGGAGGAAGCTCAGAAGCTACATCAAGCCCCTGAGGAAGCAGATTGAAGACGCTGAATTGGGGCGTGAAATCCAAGTTTCAAAATCTCTCACTGAAGTTCAGTGGAAGATGAAAAAATGGAGGAGAGAGTTATGCTCTGAATTTGAAGAACTTAACGATTTCCTGAGAAAGGAGCAAGTTGCAATTCATGGCAGGCTGCTTATGCAAGAGAAGGATGTTGAGGAAAAACTAACCCAATACATAAGCCAAATTTCAAACCACACGTCCAGGCTACAAAATCTGTTAAGTGAAATAACAGAGAAATGTTCCCAGGGAGACCTGGAGTTCCTGACAGGCATTGAAAGTATCCACAACAGGTATGAACACCTAAAATGCCCAGCCGTCTTTTCCTATGAATTAAAGAAAGAGAGTTGCAATTTCCCGCCACATTATTTTGGCCTGCAAAACATGATGAGCACGTTTCAGGTAGATTTGACGTTAGATCCTGAAACTGCCCATCCCAATCTTATTATCTCAAAAGACAGAAAAAGTGTGATATATAGAACAACAGAAGCAAACTGTCTTGACCACCATGAAGCATTTACTTATTACCCAGCTGTCCTGAGTTGTGAGGGATTTGATGCTGGCAGGCATTTCTGGCAGGTAGAATTAAGAGGCACAGGTGAATGGTCCTTAGGTGTGTGTAAAAATTTCCGCAGCAACGCTCACATTCCACCACGCCCAAAGGATGGATGGGGGCAATTTCAGCGGTGCACTAGGACATGGGGTACACAGCACACGGGACAAGCCGTGCGGATAGGTGTCTTTCTGGATTATGAGTTGGGAGAAGTTTCATATTATAATTGGAATAGCAGGTCATATTTGTATACACTCACTGATACGTTTACAGGAAAACTTATGCCTTATTTCTCTATTGGGCCTTCTTCAAAATCTCTTACAATCAGTATGGTCCTAGACGAACGATGAACTACCTGAAGGACCTTTCTGCATGTGGTTCTATTTTCTTCCTGTGTTCTTGGAGGGTGTTGTAATAAAGATTTTGAGTCCATTTTTGATGCTTGACTGCGGAACACTTTTAGGACTCATCATTCTCTCTTCCCCTTTTCCTCACACCTGGCAAAGCTGATGAGAAAGCGTGGGTGCTCCATCCTCTGGTGCAGGTGGGCAGTTCAAACCCAGCAAGCCCCTAGGAGTGCCAGAAGCCTCACAGCAGCCCCACCCAGCAACCAGCACAAACACCTCAAGCTAGTCTCCCTTCCCTAGGCCCTCAAGTCATTTTGGCCCCACTCTGAGAGCCATAAAACTCATTATTTGAGTGATAAACTTTTTCATATCCTTCCGGAGTGTGTGGCATCATCAGTTTCGACATTTGTATCAAATTTGGGATAGGGTCCACCCTGGCTAGGCAAGCTGGTCCCGACAACTGGCATTGTGCAGAGGATTATTCAGTGTGCAGCACCAGCACCAGGGCCTTCTCCTCTGGCTGCGGCTTGTAATGGCTCTGCTGCCCAAGGCCAGTGTGCACCTTCAGCTGTGCTGCCTTGTGCTGCATTTGCTGAGCTCTGCTGAGGCTCTGTTCTAGATGTAACTGTCCTACATCAGAGGGTTTCATCATTATTGGCCTTCAGGGATAAGAGCATGGATGGAGCTCCTCTTGAACGTGGTTCTGGGTCATGTGTGTCAGTCCAGACCTCCCTATATGTCTTAGAATGAATTGTGTGTCTTTCCTGGCATCAGCTGTGACTGATGTAGTTTTAGGAGCAAGACTCTGTGACCGATTGGTTGTGTGTCTCAATTGGATATGGGCTCCTGTTCTATAGAGCACTCGGGAAAGACTCTACCTGTGAGAGATCCTGCCCCACTGGGAAGTCACTCGTGTGGAGCAAGAGCAGTCACTCTGTAAATAACCAGCATTATATGAAGATTTGAAGTCCACACTCCTAAAGCAGACAGCTCACTAGGACCCTCCAAGATGCCTTTGCTACTTCTGCTGCATCTGCCTATGCCTCTGTCACAACAAAGATCCTGATTCTCTAGGTTACAGGGCAAAACACCCAAGGTCCCCTGTGGCACACTGAACGTGTTAATTCACACCAGACTTAAGCCCCTGGTCCTTAAAATCTGGAAACCAGCCATGGCCATAGAGGGGGCCCTGACCTTGATCACACTGATGTGAGGTTCTCTGGAGTGAGAAACTTACATATATGAGCTGAGAAGAGAAGATCAGCCCCTGAACTATATCCAGTGGCCAAAGAAAGAAGACAGAAAAATAGAAAAGAAGGAAGGAAGGAGAGGTAGGAGGAAGGAAAGAAGGGAAAGAAAAGAAAAGAAAAAAAGGGAGAGGGAGGGAGCTGGATTCATGGGGAGGAAAGAAAAAACTGGAACAGAGGTCCCTAATTTGACCTAATTGGAAATTCCTAATGTACTAAAATAATTTATACAACAAAAAAGATGAATAGACTTTTGTTCACCTATAGCGTAGATGCAGTTTTAACTTCAGCATCTGCTTAAACACATCCTTTGTAAAATCTTCATGACCACCATCAGTGGTCGTCCTCAAATTAGCTATACCCGGGGATCCCTCTAATTTAATCAAGGCACTGCTCATAATCTTAGTGATGTTGCCAAACATAAAATAGAGATCAAAAGGATACGTCTCATCTTAACCATCAGAACTGTTGCCTTGCCTAAATTCCCGTGAGCATAATGTACATTGCCCTAAAATATCACAGAGAAGGCCTGGTTATTCTGACCTGATGTGTAATAAATTAAAATTAAACGAAGTCTTTGGCACTTAGAAAGTGGCTTCACAAATGGGACCCCATGGATGCTCCCACCCTCATTAAAATAGATAATATGTCTAAATGTTGATTAAACAGGGCATTCAAGAATTAAAATCCAGGCCCGGCCCCATGGCCAAGTGGTTAAAGTTCCATGCATTCCGCTTCAGTGGCCCAGTTTCCGGTCCAGGGCCCAAACCTACTCCACTCACTAGCCATGCTGTGGTAGTGTCCCACATACAAAAAGAAAAATAGAGGAAGATTGGCACAGATGTTAGCTCAGGGCTAACCTTCCTCAAGCTAAAAAAAAAAAAAAAAGAAAAAATGAGGAAGATAGGCAACAGATGTTAGCTCAGAGCAAATTTTCCTCAACAAAAAACAAAACAAAACAAAACAAAAAAAGAATTAAAATCCATTATGCAAGATCTATTTAGACTACAGGTGATTATCCCCAATGTTTCTCTCTTTAGCTCCAACTTGGCCTGTTCTTAAACTTGATCATAATCTTAAAAAGAATGAATGATATCTCACAGTGAATTACCACAAATTTAATGCTGAGGTCCCACCCAATATTATTGAAACTACGGCTTCTATCCAGTTAGCAACTGGTAAATATCTGGCTATTATAGGTTTGGCTAATACGTTCTGTTCAGGGCTTATTTTAACAGCTTCCTGGGCATAGTTTGCCTTCACCTCCAAAGGGATACCATCCATCTATACATGGAAATCATGGGATCCTCAACACCCTTGTCCTGGCACACAATCTTTGCGGGCAAGGTCCTAACTGCATCCGACTTTCTCCAGGAGCACACGTGTGATGTACATTGATGACATCCTCCTCCATGGAGATCCATTCAAAACACTCATTCCGGACACAAAAGGACCCAAAAGGAGTTTGCACCAAGGGAAAGGGCCATTGTCCTACACAGAGTGTAAAGCCCTAGTATCTTGTTGAAATATTTGAAAATTATTTGGTAGACTGAGGACAGCTCCATCCTGGACACTGCCAAGAAATACCTACTGACCCTCTCAACACCTCCAACATGAAAACACGCTACAAAGGGGTTCCTGGCACCAATTCCAATGTGTGTGTCTGTGAGGGTGTGTGTGTGTGTAGGCTTCCCCACAAGAAGAAGCAGTTCTTGGCCACCAGCAACTCAAATCTGATACTATCTACCTGGAGATAGAATCAGATTTCACAGGTAAAGGGCTCAGTCCCACAAGACCGACCCCCACTTCAGAAGCCAGTCTCAAGTCTCAGGTTGCGACTTGTACTTCTGACTGCCAGGTTATAAATCGGAGATTCCCATGACCTTCTCCTTAGGTTCAATTAATTTGCTAGATCGGCTCACATAACCCAGGGAAACACTTACTTATGTTTACCAGTTTATTAAAGGATATGATAAAGGATACAGATGATCATCCAGATGGAAGAGATGCATAGAGAAAGGTATGAGGGAAGGGACATGGAGCTTCCATGCCCTCTCTGGGCATGCCACTCTCCCAATACCTCCATCTCTTCACCAATCCAGAAAGCTCTCCAAGAGAGGGGCTGATGCGTTGTCCTTTTTGGGTTTTCATTATACAGTCATGTGTATTTCTTAGTCCCCATTTCTCATGTGGAAGGTGTGGGAATAGAAGAATTTTTTGCAATTCTAAAATAAAAATCTTTACAAAAAAATAAAGTACACTAGTGGTTCCTCTCTCATTTGGCTTTAGATTGAAGAGGCAGAGAATGCTAAACGCAATAGATGAAATAGATCCATGTAGGTGGGTATGAAAAAAAATCTAGATATATTTAAGTGTAAAAAGCAAAGTGCACCACAAACAACCCAATCATAAAATGGGCAGAGAATATGAACAGATACTTTCCCAACAGATACTTACCATTTCCCTTGGCCAATAGGCACAGGAAAAGATGTCCAACATCACTAATCATCGAGGAAATGCAAATCAAAACTACATTAAGATATCACCTTATACCCATTAGAATGGCTATAATCACCAAGACAAAAAACAACAAACGTTGGAGAGTTTGTGGAGAAAAAGGAACCTTCATTCACTTCTGGTGGGAATGCAAACTGGTGCAGCCTCTATGGAAAACAGTATGGAAATTCCTCAAAAAACTAAAAATAGAAATACTTTATGATCTTGCTATCCCACTATTGGATATCTGTCCAATGAACCTGAAATTAACCTTCCAAAGAGGCTTCTGCACCCCTATGTGCATTGCAATGTTATTTGCTATACCCAAAATGTGGAAGCAACACAAGCGTCCCTTGTCTTGGGTGTCCAAGTGTCCCAGATAAAGAAGATGTGGTATATGGATACAGTGGAATACTATTCTGCCATCAAAAAAGACAAAATTGTCTCATTTGCAACAACATGGATGGGCCTGGAGGGTATTATGTTAAGTGAAATAAGCCAGAGAGAGAAAGACAAACACCACATGATTTCACTCATATGTGGAAGATAAACTAAGACACAGGCAAAGAGAACTGTTTGGGGGGTGGGCACAAGAGGTGAAGGGAGGCATTTATATGGTGACTAACAAACAATAATGTACAACTAAAATTTCACAATGTTATAAACGATTAAGACATCAATAAAAAAATTTGCTAAAAAAAAAAAGCAAATTGCACTAATCATCAGGGACATGTGAATCAAAACCACAATGATGGGCCGGCCCGGTGGCCTAGTGGTTAAGTTCAGCACACTCTGCTTTGGCAGCTCAGGTTCAGTTTCTGAGCACAGACCTACACCAGTTGGCAGTGGCCATGCTGTGGCCATGACTCACATACAAAATAGAGGAAGATTGGCACAGATGTTACCTCAGAGGGAATCTTCCTCAGCAAAAAAACAAAAAACAAAAACACAATGAGACATCACCTCATACCTGTCAGCATGGCTATTATCAAAAAGACAAGAAATAACAAGTGTTGTCAAAGATATGGAGAAAAGGGAATCCTTGTTCACCGTTCGTGGTAAGGTAAACTGGCCACCCATTATAGAAAACAGTATGGAGCTCCTTCAAAAAATTAAAAATAAAACTACCATATGATCCAGCAATTCCACTTCCGGGTATTTATCCAAAGAAAACAAAAACACCAATTTGAAAAGATATATGCACCCCATATTAATGCAGCATTTTTTACAATAGACAAAATATGGAAACAACATAACTAT